TGCATACACGGAGGCAAAAGTCATGACGACACATGCCTGTCAGCGCGTCACCTCATCGCCGCATTTCGTCCAGTGATAAGTAGGGTATACAGACGTTAGGTATAGCGAAAAGCAACTCGTTCCACTGGTTTTATTTGAAGAATTTACCCAGGACCAACCAAAGCGCATTAGGTAGCTTGTCTGTTATCTTAATTTCGTTTTGTCTGAATCAGCTTGAAATCTATGCTCAAAAATTTGTTCGTTTTTAGAGCCGACCGCGTAAAATCTGAGCTTGAACAACTACGAAAGGAAGATAGTGATCTGAAAGAGAAGCTCGATCGTGTTATGGCAGAAAAAGAGGATTTGGTTAGTCCCTTTCGCTTGTTGTGGAGGTTAGGATATGGGAATATGTTTCCCGCTAGCAAAAGTGATGAGTAGTAAATCGTGGGAGAGGACGTGACGTCGTATTCAGGATGAATAGCTCGATGAAGTCAAAAATCGCAATAAAATTGATATTCAAGAAACAAAAAGGGTGGCAATGGAAAGGGTAGAGGAGTTCCAATTAGGCAATTGGTGGCGCTTTCGCGGCAGACGGTGCTCAGATGGCAAGCTATCATCGGAATGCCAAGCTGCTGAAGATGATCCAAAGCCTCTAAAGATTCTCCGGTTCTCAAATGTGTCCATTGCCGTCGCCTTGAACAGATGACAGTGGCATTGCATTTGAAATGGGACTGTCGTGGCTGTCGTTGAGTTTTATTTTTCGGCCATAGCGGCAGTTTTGGCAATGCATAATCGCATAGATATGAGGGATTTATAATTGTGCCAATCACCTGGAAGAGGAAGGTCTGCTGTTGGCTAAGAAAGGCCTCAAAATGGCACTTAGTCTACAGACCTGTTGAGCTAGACCTTTGGCTTCCGTGGTGAAACTTATTTTCAAGAAATGTGTTAGTGTTAAAAATAGGGCCAGGAAAGAGCGATACTTCCGGGCATGGGTATATCCATCTCTGGAGTAACTATGGCAGAGAAGATAAATTCCAAAAGGAATTTCTGAATGACTCGATGTCTCTTTACTCCAGTGCACTTTTACCATCAGCGCCTTACTCCTGGTTTGAGCCATCGCTTAGCATTTAATGAATGGTGAATGCAGACAAACTGACTACTGGGATGAAATTGTTTATTGGGCTGTTTTGAGAGGATTACTGGATTAAAACCTATGCGCGCAATACCGAAATCTATGCAAACATTCGAGCGCGTCACTTTATCTTTTACACACTCTCTAGATATGGGATTTACTTTTCCCTTGGAGCTTTTACTCACTTCTATCCTAGTATTTTCAATGAATACAACTTGTGGTCTTGAAAATATTCTGAAGAAGAGAGTGTAATCGTAGAAGCTAACGTAAAGTGTTCCTTTGCTTTCGTATTTCATTTTCACTAGAAGTTAATTCTTTGTGAGTTCTGTCAATTCTGGGCGCATGTGCATGAAAATGAACTGAGGGGATTTTTGAAGGGGTTGTAGATTCAAAATGCTCATTGGCCATATATAACTTACTGTTTTCAGTTGAGAGTTCTCAGTTCGAATCAAGATAAGCAAGGCGAGACAGCTCAAGTTACTACAAAAAGAGTTGGCAGCGGCTAACAGCGTGATCATGGAACATTCAAAGGAGAAAGAGAAGTAGGCAAACCTGCTTGTTTATTCAAGTTTCAAAACTAACTTTTGAATTCAAGTCTGCTCGCTGAAATGGAAGCACTGAAAAAGACGATAGCAGCTGAAACGGCGTCGAAGCAAACGGCCACTGAAGAGATGTCTATAGCGAAACAGCAAATACAGCAGCTGGCAGAGGAGGTGAGTTCCAAGTCTATTTCGCATTTTTCTCGGCGAATGGTGCCACATCTTGTTCTTACCAATGTTGGTCGAGGCAGTCGCATATACAAGTAGCTGGCTGCTTCACCCCACGAGTCTACGATTACCAACCCTTTAACCGATATGGTAGAACCGTGATATGCCCCTCAGTTACCATGAGAGAGGCGAACCGTGCGCGCTATTACTCGATGATGCATCCGTAGTGCCTCAAGGTCTTTATGTGAGGTTTTTTATGCTCCATTTTAGAAACGATCTTTGGAAGAGCAGCTAAAGAAGACGTTGAGTGATGAAGCAGAGATGAAAGGAAGGCTCTCGAATCTTGAGCGAGATAAGGTGTTTTTTTTTGGAAGCTCTTTGATTACGCTGAACTTTCTCTCGTCATGTACAGGAAGGCCAATTTACTCTATCCTGACAAAGGGGCTATATGAGTACAAATTTAAGGAGGCCATACAAAGACAGCATGAAGATTTCAAGGAAGCCGTGCAAAGGCAGCATGAATGATTTTAAGGAGGCCATGCAAAAGCAGCATGAAGATGAGCTTAAATTGGTACGGACACAGTTACAGCAGCAAGAAGGAACCTCTTCTCAAACACAACAGCAGGTAAGTATGTTTCCTTGAGATTTTTGCTATGATGGGGCTAAATTGTGATTGAACCCATAAAGTTAACGTTTCGGTGGAGGACACTGGCTAGAGGTAAATATCACTGTCAGTCCCGTTAAGCAAACAATCACTACCATTTGAAGTCACGTGTTTCAGGCAAGTAACGAAGTCGCAGAAGCGTTGGAAAAAGTTCGATCGGCTGAGGAGACCAAATTAGCTGTGGAGAAGGTTATGGAACAACTGAAGTCTGAATTAGCTGAGAAGCAAAGAGAGGTAAATTGATGCCAGTGACTACGAGGAAAGAGTTAGGCTATTTTTGTGTACCCCATCAGAATGGAATTTCACTGAATTGATACCTTATACAGAATATTATTAATCGAATCGGCAAAGAACTAGTATTTGTTGCCACGTTTTTTAAAGACACGGTTTTTTGCAGTTGCTTTGTTTTTTATTTGCACGTTTTCTAGAGTCAAGTCAGTTGACAAACTTCGAATAAATTAACTACACTCTGAAAGATCCATATCGAAAAAAATAGAAATTTTTTCTTCCTGTAGATGTTTATGCATTTAAAATACTTTTTAAAGGTCACTTCTCTTCGGTTAATCGAAGCGAATGCGAATGTGATGGTTTCTGAAGCAAAGCAGAAGATGTAAGCTTCCTATATTTTCTTGTTTCCCCGTTTTTTTCTCGCTCTTTTGCACTTGCACTGCCATAAGTGTTTGCTTCTTATCTTCTTTTTCATTCTGTTTCTCAAAATATCATTTCATTTGAATGCGATGATTTTTCCTTATCTTTGCCTGTTTAATATAACATCTATTTTAAAAAGTAGCTATACTTGTGAAATCTGAGCTTATACAATTCAGAGATCTTTCAATGAACTCGAGCAAGATTGGCAGAAGAAGCAGTTACGTCTTTGTGAGAAAATCGACGAGTTAACTATTGAATTGGAACAGGCCAAGAACAGAACTCAAAGCGAGGAGGTGAATTCGTTGAAAAGAGAGGTGAGTATCTTCGCTTAAACTATGAATGGAAATGGTTATCGCTCTAGAAAGAAGATTTTTGGTTCCAATTTAGTTTCATCGCGCTGCGACCGCGCGCTTATTTTCCATTTAATGCGGCGATGGCTCAGTGGTAGTATTCTTTAATGCTCGAAGTCGTGCTCGTTGTATTATTTTTTGTGCAATTTGTATTGCTGTGTTGTGTTGAGTGGAAATGATTGTTTTTACTATGTTATTCTAGCTTGCCTTTACCAATTCAATCATTGCCGATCAAAGGAGGAAGGAAGTGAAGCTGCAAGAAGAGATTGAAGCTCTCAAAAGTTTCTCAGCTGATTCGTACGTTTTTATGCATGGTTTCCGTTTATCATTTGCGTATTTAGTGTGTGGTTTAGTATATAACAATAATTTTTTTTCAGAGTGAATGTGCCACTAATGTCGGCTGCGAATCGTGAAGTGAAGCCAAGAATGTACTGTGATATCTGTGAAACGTTTGACCAACATGAGACGGAGGTAGGTCTAGTAGTACTAAGGTGGTCAGAATATTAGGTGGAACAGGGTAACTCATCCATTCCGAATTCTGGTTAAGGCCTAGGAGGTGGCTCTTTGTCTGCATATCGTTTTGTCTGAACAAATTTCAGAACTGATTTTTTAAAACAATTTTTTTCATATCTGTCAAATCTTTGCCAATGATCTTTGTGCTATTGAGCTCCATATGTTACCAGCTTCAGAGAGTTTGTAGCAGGGTTTAGTTGTCTTATCACAGATCGTCTTGAGCCCAAATCCATTTTCTAGGAATATGAGTGAGAACACATGTGAGGTTCTCAAAATACCATGCAGCATTCGTCATAGGCGCTAGGCGCAATTCTTGGCGACGCAAATATTTAGGGACGATATTTCATAATTTCGCGATAAATGAAGTACATGTCATTCCTATGTATGGAGTGAGGGAGGGGGAGGGGACTCTCAATCAAAAACAGGAAAGCAGGCCAGTTATCGCGAGGTTATCGGAAACGTTTTCAGTAGTAATTGATGCAGAATGGCTGTGTATCCTTTTATGTATATCTGGGTGAATGTATTGTCAAGAGAGCTAATTTGCAAATATGGAAAGAATCGCACGTGAAGGCTTCCTAGGTCAGAAACTTCGCCCAGGCTCTGCATTCAACAGTTCTCCATGGAATATCAAAATCGTATCCTGCTAATTGGCTAGGGACATATTATGTATATCGTTCCAGGGGAATAACTGGCCCGCTTCAGGCAGATTTCTGATCTTATCTCGCACGACTATGGCGTCACGTAAGGAGATTTCAAATCAAGTGATGGAAACAGGAATAGAGCCTGGCAGGGGTTATACCTGTGTCAAAGTTTGGGAAGGAGCTTGACTACGAACGGATGGTTTGCGGTGGCTCGCAGATGACCATATATGGATATCAGTTGTAGGTATACAGAATGACGAATTTTCATAAGCACTACAGTAGCCAAGTAGTACAAATTATAGGATAGTTTGCTCTGGTGTGTGGCGTTTTTGACATTTCACTATGTTCTAGGATTGTCCGAAACAAGAAGTCCAAGAAGAGATGGTCCGAACAAAGCCAAAGAAACCACCACCACCATCTCGAGAGTACTGCGATTACTGTGAAAGTAAGCTCATATTTCTTTTTTTTGAGTTACTCTAATTTAGCGGAGTTCTCCAGAAAAAATCTTATCAATGAAAGTGATATTCAAATCAATCGGTGATGAATGCTGAGGTCTTTAAACGCACATCGTGCTCTTATTGATAGGTGCGACGAATTCATTGGGTGAAAGAGATTACTTTTACGTTTATGACTTGGTCCTGGCACTTGATCTATTGGTTTCGTCACTTGGAAATGAAATTAACCTGTGAAGTGGGCTAGCGGTGTAAGCGGAAAAGGAACCCATTGAAAACACTGAATGAGGGCCTTCTTCCTGGTCGTGGAAGTCTTGTCAAAACGGGGCGAGGGAACAGGCGAATGAGCACGGGGGACGAGTGAGACAGATCCGCTGCTCAAATCTTTGCGTCGCTAGCAATAGCAGTCAAACCTCAGTGACATAGCGAAATCTTTGTCTCACTCTTTTGAGGTGTGAGCACTGTACATCTTTTATTTTTGAGGGCACATGGGTAAAGGTTGAAAGGACAAACTACTCAGCGATAATAAGTCTTTCGGGTTGCGCCGTGCATTCTACTTTATTCGAAATCGCAATGGCACTGATTGCGATTTGGCCTATACAATGACTTGCGTGGATAGTATGCACAAGTCAGCGTTTGTCCCAGACAAGTCTGGTACCAATTTAAGCCGAGACCTGGAGGGATGGAAGGCTTGGTTGGCCCAGGATGTATGACCCAGGATTCGATCCCTTCACCGTGCGCGTGGTAAGCGCACCTCTTGCCGCTACACCACTTCCACCCAGGTGGGATGAGTCCTTATTCACATAATGGATTGATCTACTGGGTTAATAATGGAATCCACCTGTAGCACCCCGTTCCTGTCGCCATCGCTGAGCAATTGGCCGTTGAAAGGCTCAAGACATTTTTGAAGTTTGTGACGCTTTT